ACACAGTGTCGTCTTATACGCCGGAAAATACGGTAAAATTTCTTTTGAGACACACATTTTTTTAAACTTAAATAGACTCGCCCAGGCCGTGGTATTTTGTGGAAGAGCCACACTCAAGAAGCCAAAGAGCCACATGTGGCTCGCGAGCTGCAATTTACCGACCACGGTACTAGGCTGTAAACTCCTTGACCAAGGTCAGTGATTTTTCACCTTCATATCTAGCTCACTGCACACAGCATACAGTGCAAAAAAGGAAAAAATTACAGCCCGGCCGGCGTGGCTCAGTGGTTGAGTGTCGACCTATGAACCAGGAGGTCACGGTTCGAGTCCCGGTCAGGGCACAGGCCCGGGTTGTGGGCTGGATCCCCAGGAGGGGATTCTCTCTCTCCCTCTCCCTTCCTCTCTGCGATCAATAAAAATAGGATTTGTTTGTTCTTTTAATCAAAGAGGAATGAATGAACTCTAGGACAATGAAAGGGCACAAAGACAGCCGCTGGCCTCTGAGTAGAGGAAATCCAGGTCCTAAGGAAGCACACTAAGCCCCACCCATAAAAAGGAAAAAAAGGAGAAAGAAAGGCAGAGTTGTTCGGGTGGCATGCAGTGATAAGAGAAAAAGCTGATCGACCATCGGGCCACGCAGGCAGGCAGTCCAAGGTCAGAGTCTGCGCAGAGCAGCTGACTGAAGGCCAGAGATAAAGGGGTTCTTCCTAAGAGGAAGTAATTCATGGCCTCCGTTCCCCTCAGCTCCCACCCCTCCCCTCTGCCATGCTCCCCTTACCCTCCCCGCCCCACAACCAGCAGCAGGTCCCACGACAGGAAGTCCCCTCGTGGGCACGGCCTGTCCTGCCCCGGGGAGGGGGGATCGTCTGGGATGTAAGAGATGGGGAGTCTCTGTTCTGGTAGCAAAGACCTAGAGGCCAGAAAGCTGAACGATCCTGGGGACTATCTGTCCCCCACAGCATGCTGCTGTGCAGGCGCCCACCCTGACAGTGACCGCGCGGAGGGACCCATCTCCAGAGGAGGACCGTGTGTCCAGGACCGCACGGCTGGGCCGTGACACAGCCTCCGAACCCGGGGAGGCGGCCTCCAGAGCGACAGCCCTGGCATCGCACCAGGAGGGGGGACAGAGGGGACGATCTCAGATCTCAGAACACACAATCATCCCCCCCACCCGCCGGGACTGCGGGGCGGCCAAGGCCACTCCGTGACGCGCACACCGCGCGGGGGCGGGGCTGTGGGGCCCCACCTGGACAGCTAGAGCCATTTGTTACCTGGCTCCTCCCCCGATCATTACAAACCAAAATGTACTTCAACGTAGTTTTGGGTCACAAAGGGTCCTTAAATGAGGCTTTCCTTTAAGAATATTTTTCTTCCACACACACACACACACACACACAATAAAAAATCACAAAGGACAGGACGATCCGCCTGGGAGAGCAGCGGGCTGGCGGACCCCGTGGGGCGTACGGGCCTGTGGGCCGCTCACAGGGGCTGCGGGCGGAATAAAGCGCCATCCTCAGCCCGCAGGCGGGAACCCGTAAGGCAGGTGCCACCCACCAAGCTCGCGGCCGCCAGGCCTGCCATCCACCGACAGCACGTCCTCCTCTGCCCGCAGCCCGGGAGCTGCTGTGAACCAGCCTGGGGGCCGCCGGCTCTGACACAGAGAGAGCGTGAGACACGCTAACTGCTGCTGAGCTGTTACTAAACCCACCGCCAGCACAACCATGAGGGCTGGGACACCAAGCACCTGCGTTTCTGTGTACAGCCCACTGGCCACAGCCCTTCCTGAACCGGAAAGGAAACCCCGGCTCTCCCACTCAGCATGGTGCAGCGGGGCGTCTCCTCGCTGGGGAGCGGTCAGAGCTTCTTAAACCCGGACTGAAGCCCTCCCCTCACCTCTCACCCCTTCTCCCCCCCACTTAGCTGTTCCTCTCCTCCCCCTGCTGTGTGCGCAGGGCTGTGGAGCGAGTCATGTGACAGGGACTTTGAGCCCCATCAGGGGTCAGGCCTCCCAGGGGAATTCTCGGATCAGCTGTGAAAATGCAAAACCCAGGAGGCTGAGCGCCTTAGGAAAGTTAAATACTAGAAAAGGCCTACGATGTGAAGGGTGACCAGAGAGACCCCGGGCGGGAAGGGAACGGCAGTGGCTGTGCACACGCCTGGTAGTTATGCTCACTGCTGCTTTGGCAGACCGCAGTTCGGGAGCACAGGGTTACCAGGCCCGACGGGCAGAGCTAACAAAGCCAGAGCCAGGGACCAGGCCTGCGTCTGAGAGACGGGCTGCAGCCCCAGCCGGTCCGCACAGGACTGAAGGGTCTCAGGTCCCATCTGGTCAAGGGCACAGATTTTGGTTGCAGGCCCTGGGTGTGGTGGGAGAATGTGGGAAGCAACCAATCCATGTGCCTCTCTCACATGGATGTTTCTCTTTCCCCCTCCTACTCTCCCCCTCCCTCCCTCTGTGTGTGTGTGTGTGTGTGTGTGTGTGTCCTCCCTTCCACTTTCTCTGAAAACCAATGGGGGAAAAATACCCTTGGGGGAGGACTAATAAAAGTAAATGAAGACCTATACGTAAAAGGCATGCTACTTCTACTTGAGGATTTAGGGTGAAACAGGAATGGTGGCCAACAGCCAGAAATGCGGAGACAAAGGGCAGAAATTTAGAATTTTGCCCAATAGAAATACACGATTGTGAAATGAAAAGCCGAAGAAATAAATCAACCCACACTGCTGACAGCAGCATGCGAGAGGGAGTTACAGGGAGCCTCGCTTCCTACCTTTTATATCCTCACAAGTTTCTGTCACTTTTTTAAGCCTTTGTGACCGGAAAAGTCTCCTTTGACACTGGGATGAAAAATGAGGGCCGCGGACGGAGGCCCACAGGAGTGAACGCCCTGCGTGCACCGGCCCTGCAGCCTCTCTCGTCCCCCGAGGGAGCACCAGCATACCCGTCTATGGTGATGCGGGCACCACGCACGGACGCACGGGAACTGCCCACACTGCCCACACTGCCCCGCCAGGACAGAGCTTATGACAGGCCCCGGGAGGCAGGACGGGGCACGCACAGCCCGCCCACCAGCCCGCCAGCAGGACCAGAACCAGAACCAGAACCAGAGGCTTGGACACTGACACAGAGCCGGTCAGAAAACCCCCGGAGAGCTGGCGAAGGCTCCACCCCGAGCCATGTCGCTGGTCTCCGCACCCCATCAGCCCGCTCCTCAACCGATAAGAAATCCATTAAATCCTTGAGGGAACCCATCGTCAATTAAACAACTATTCCGGGTTTTCAGAAAGTCGATGCCGTGGTCACCAGCCCTGTGACTCCAATACAAAGGCAGGTGCAGGCCAGGCAGCTCTGCCCTTTGGGCCTGGTAACAGTCCCATGTGGGCATCTCCCATGTGGGTGTCTCCATGTGGGTGTCTCCGTGTGGATATGTCCCATGTGGGTGTGTCCCATGTGGGTGTCTCCGTGTGGATATGTCCCATGTGGGTGTGTCCCATGTGGGTGTCTCCGTGTGGATATGTCCCGTGTGGATATGTCCCGTGTAGGTGTCTCTGTGTGGATATGTCCTGTGTGGGTGTCTCCGTGTGGATATGTCCCGTGTGGGTGTCTCTGTGTGGATATGTCCCATGTGGGTGTCTCCGTGTAGGTGTCTCTGTGTGGATATGTCCCATGTGGGTGTCTCCATGTGGATATGTCCCATGTGGGTGTCTCCGTGTGGGTGTCTCTGTGTGGATATGTCCCGTGTGGGTGTCTCCGTGTGGATATGTCCCGTGTGGGTGTCTCCGTGTGGATATGTCCCATGTGGGTGTCTCCGTGTGGATATGTCCCGTGTGGGTGTCTCCGTGTGGATATGTCCCATGTGGGTGTCTCCGTGTGGGTGTCTCCGAGTGGGTGTGTCCCGTGTGGGTGTCTCCGTGTGGGTGTGTCCCATGTGGGTGTCTCCGTGTGGATATGTCCCGTGTGGGTGTCTCCGTGTGGGTGTCTCTGTGTGGATATGTCCCATGTGGGTGTCTCTGTGTGGGTGTCTCCGTGTGGGTGTCTCTGTGTGGGTGTCTCCATGTGGATATGTCCCGTGTGGGTGTCTCCGTGTGGGTGTGTCCCATGTGGGTGTCTCCGTGTGGATATGTCCCATGTGGGTGTCTCCGTGTGGGTGTCTCTGTGTGGATATGTCCCGTGTGGGTGTCTCCGTGTGGGTGTCTCCGTGTGGATATGTCCCATGTGGGTGTCTCCGTGTGGGTGTCTCCGTGTGGGTGTGTCCCATGTGGGTGTCTCCGTGTGGGTGTCTCTGTGTGGATATGTCCCGTGTGGGTGTCTCCGTGTGGGTGTCTCCGTGTGGATATGTCCCATGTGGGTGTCTCCGTGTGGGTGTGTCCCATGTGGGTTTCCCATCTGTGCTGTTGGCTCACGGAACATTAATTCAAACCCTTGGCTTATTTGGGACTGGGGTGCAGGGTAGTCCCGCCCTCCGGGATCGGCTGGTTCCAAGTCACCAATAGGAGAGGCTGGGCAGTGAGGTGTGGGGCGCCGGAAAAGGGACCCCGCTGACCACACAGCGCCCCCCGGACTCCCGGTGCTGTTGGCAGCTTTCCGGAGGAGCCTGCTGGCCAGGGCCTCCCGGCACAGGCCGGGCCACTGCTCCTGCGGGGGAGCCGGGGAGAAGCCCCGGACACATTCACGCTGTGCTGTGGGGTCTGCAGGGTTTGCACGGGGCCCCCGCTAAACGCAAAGGTCCTTGGGAGGGACCGTTCGTCACCGGGGGAACTGGCCCTTTAACAGCCAAACCCCAGAGGTGCGAGGCCCGCGGGAGGAGCGCAGGGTCAGGGCCGGCCGCCAGCCCCGCTGGGCCCCTGGGCGCTGGGCCGTGGAGACCTCCGGCCGGAAGGTGCCCCGGTGCCGGGAACACGTGGACGCGGGCCCCGGGTCCCGGGCAGGGGCCGGGGGCCAGGCCGGTGCCGGTGTCCGGGGCGCCCAGCCCCCAGCCCTGCCCGCCCTTACTCACCCTTTCTCCCGCTCCTCCTCGGCGAGAAGGGCTAAGTGGCTATTTTGTGCCCAATTTGGCCAAAACCCTAAAAGTAAACACGACAGAGACAGACACGTGTTTTAAGATCCTGGGGCCGAGCCTCCGGGGCTCCCACACCCGCCCCCGCTCCAGGCGGGGCGCCCCCACCCCCGCCCCGGACTTGGGGCGCCTTGTCCCCCTGGGGGCTCGGATCGCCCCGAGTGGCCGGGGAGCAGGCGGCAGGCAGGGGCGGCCTCCGACCGGCACACACGCCGCCCCCGATCCCGCCGCCCGCGGCCCCGCCGCCGCCCCCGGGAGGGTCCGGGTCCGGGTCCGGGGACCAAGCGGCGGCGCCCGGACCCCCGCACCGGTTTCAAGGCCCCCCGCCCGCCGCCGGCGCCCGCCCGCCGTCCGCACCCGCAGCGCAGCTCCGCCTGGAAGGCCCGCTGGCCCCGCCCTCCGCCGGCGGTACGCCCCGCCCTCCGCCGGCGGCAGGCCCCGCCCCGGCGCGGGGCGGCAGCGCGAGGCCCCGCCCCTGCCGGGTGGCGGCCAAAACCCGGGCGGAGTTTACGACGGATCACGACAGGTCGTTCAGCGAGCGGTAGCCCTGCGCTTAGTCTAAACGCGGAGGCACACCAGGCCCAGAGGGCGCCAGGGAGCCGAGGCTGGGGAGCCCGGGTTTCAGGGGGGGACACCGGGACCCCCGGCAGCTCTGTGCACCCGGCAGTGGCTGAGCTCCCCGCCCCCGCCCCCGCGGTCCGTGCACACAGCCGGCGGACGGGGTACACAGGCAGCCCGTGCACACAGCAGACAGTGCACACAGCCAGCAGTCCGTGCACACAGCCGGCGGACGGGGTACACAGGCAGCCCGTGCACACAGCAGACAGTGCACACAGCCAGCAGTCCGTGCACACAGCCGGCAGCACGTGCACACAGCAGACAGTGCACACAGCCGGCAGCCCGCGCACACAGCAGACAGTGCACATAGCCGGCGGACCGTGCACACAGCAGACAGTGCACACAGGCAGCCTGTGCACACAGCCGGCAGGCCGTACACACAGCCGGCGGGCCGTGCACACAGCAGACAGTGCACACAGCCGGCGGACCGTGCACACAGGCAGCAGGACAGGCGCTTGGCCGGAAAAACTAAATCGCCTTCCTGACCCCTGGTCCTCGTGATGTCCATTTTCTCCCTTAATTTAGTTTTCACCTTTTTTGCAATTTATGGATTAAATTAGAAATGTAACCACCCAGCACACGTAACATACAATCCTGGAGAGAAGCGCCCACGTAGAGAAGCAGCCGAAGGGAAACGGCTCAGAACATTTGGGAAGATGGAGAAGTTAGGGAGCCGGTCAGGACTTATTATAGGATGGCACAGCCATGTGAGCGTGGCTCATGCTGCCGGACTGGGCCCTTAGAAAGGTGGACAGCGTACATTTACGTATATATTATCATCACCATAAAAAAAAATTGGTTGGAAGTCAAGTAGGTTTGGAAGCGCTTTGGAAGCTCCAAGCTCTTGGAACTGCCTCCTGTTTCCTCATTAAGTACATTAATTAATAAGCACTTATCAAGAGCTTTTCTATCCATCCGTGTGCTGGGCACAGCAGAAAACTCAAAGCGAGGCATCTTTCTGCACCCGAAAGTTCTTCTGCCGTTTAGTTCTTCCTGAGTGGAGATGAAAGGAAGCCGCTTAGTTTTTTTTTTTACCAGGTTCTGGGTTGTCGGGAAAGGGTTGTTACTGGGTATGCTGGGGGGGGGGGGGGGGGGGGGGGGAATTCTTCCAATTTACAAATAAATCCCCGAACAAAGTTAAATGGACCTTTTTTAAAAAACCGCAGGACTTCTTTAATATGCTAATGTACATTTTGAATCGCGGAGACAGGATTTAGTAAGCTGACCTCCTCAACGCATTTGATCAGAAATTCTTTGTTCTCCTGACGCCCAATTACTATCCCTGCGCCCTGTGCCTGGGAAGGTGAGCCAGGGATGCCCCAGGCAAGGGGGGTTCTCTGCCCCAGAGCTACTCCGTGGTGCCGTCTGTAATGACGTGTGGGTGCCTTGTCTGTGTTACCCCTAAGTGGTCCAGAAAGTGTACAGAGTTATAGTAACACTTTATTTTAAAAGTTAAGATGGAGATGAAACATTCAATAGAGACTATAAAGTAATGTCTCACCTCCGTGGACAGTTCTCCAGTACCTTTATTTGTCATTGAGTCTTTAAAGAAGGCATTTCCATTTTGGGAAGGAGGACTTGCTAATGGAGATTCTACAGAAAACTGATGCTGACTGTGGTATGTGACCTCTACACATTTTTAAATGGTATTTTCAGTGATAGCTGGCATTCTGTATTGTTTTACATTAGCTTTAGGTGCCCAGCACAGTGGTTAGGCAGTCCTAAGCCTTCTACAGTGACCCCCTGACAATGACCCCACACAGTTGTTACCATGGTAACGACTACATTCCCGGTGCTGCACCTTACATCCGGGACTGTTGTGTAACCTAAACATTGTTAATTTAGAAGAACAGGGACCCACGCCTCCCTCTCTTCCTGATGAGAGAATTCCTCCGGGTTGGATCCCAATCAGCAGCCTTCGGGCCTGATTTTCTCTCTGCCTCGGGATAATGACAGTGTGATTTGCACTGTTCTTCAGCCATAATTAAAAAAAACAAAAAAGTCTCCATCGCTCCATTGTTAGACCTGGACCCCAGGTCCCCACCGTCAGCACTACGTTGCCTGCACGCTCTCTAACTTCCCCGCAGTCACACAGGGGGCCGGTCTCAGTGAGGGAGGAGTGGCCGATGAAAGCGAAAGACCAGCAAGTCCGAGACCACTTCATGACAGTAATGTCCGTCTCAATTCCATTGTCATGGGCCCGCTCACGTTAACGTATGTGAAACGCATGCGGCCATTTCCATCATCGCACAAAGGGTGGAGGTGACGGAGCGGCCGAGGTCAGACATGCAGCTGTGAAGGGAGCAGAGTTTGCCTCTCAAAATAAGCTTCTTTGGGAAATGGAATATTTTAAGCTGGTAATTTTTAAAACATAAAAGACTGGGGTGGGGGGAACCTTTGACCTTCCCCCAGCTGCCCTAAAGAATTTGGAAAGAGGCTAACCATGTCGTCTTCTTAGGAGAAGACTGAGCTTCTCGGGGTGACAAACCAAATGGGGGAAGGCCAGCCTCACAGTCTTTAATATATATAATATATAATATTAAATAATATATACACTAGAGGCCCGGTGCATGACATTTGTGCAAGAGCAGCCCTTCCTTCCCCAGCTGCCGGCCCCAGCTTCCCTCCGGCACCCGGGACCCAGGCTTCCTTTGCAGCCCGGCTTCAGCTGGAAGGTTATCCTGAAAGATGTCCAGTCTAATTAGCATGTTATGCTTTTATTATTATAGAATATATTTTTATTGATTTCAGAAAGGAAGGGTGGGGAGCGAAAGATAGAAACATCAATGATGAGAATCACTGATCGGCTGCCTCCTGCACACCCTCCGCTGGGGACTGAGCCTGAAACCCCAGGCATGTGCCCTGACCAGGAATTGAACCATGACCTCCTGGTTCATAGGTTGACATTCAACCACTGAGCCACGCTGGCCAGGCTGGCCTGCACGGTCTTACAGGCTGTTAGGCATTTCCAACTCCACTCCCGGTTTTGAGATCCACGTTACTGGCTGGTGCAGACGTTGGAAAACTGTTTCATTCTCTCCAGATAGAAGGAATGCCGCACAGTGGGGTGCTGTGTGTTTGCCTGCTTCGTTTGTACTTTCCTTGATTGTTTGCTATTTTCCCGCTGCACCAGGGAAGGAAGCAAATGAAAGCCCTCAGCACCAGCTAATGCAATGCCCCCCGCGGGCAGGCAATCGATATTCCCCACGGTGATGAGAAATGTCTTTTCTCTGGCAGAGAAGGATATGCTGGCTCAAAAGAATGAGAGCAGACGCTGTGACAGAGGAGGTCAGACTGGGATCAGAGGGAGGGGTCCGGGTGGGAGGCTGCTGGCGAGGCTGGCTCTCTGCCGCCCCAGCTAATGGCGTTCCACCTGCTGCACAGAGACCCTGGGTTAGGGCACACGTGAGACCTGCTCAGCGAGCGGCTTCTGAGGACCAGCCCATTCGGCTGCCATCTGGGGAAGGCCAGAAACATGACTAACGGTCCAAACAGGCAGCTGGGGGGAGGCTTTCACCACAGGAGGCCCGGCACCTACTACTATGCGAACTGACTTTTCCCAGAATGCTGGGTAATTTCCATCAAGGACTGAAATACCTGTGTTGTTGGTTTTTTTGTTTTGTGCTGTGTGTGTGTGTGTGTGTGTGTGTGTGTGTGTTTGTTTGTTTGTTTTTTAATATCCTGTTCTCTGGTCAAAGGAGGTTCTTTAAAAATATGTATTTTTGTTGGTTGCAGAGAGGAAGGGAGAGGGAGAGAGATAGAAACATCAGTGATGAGAGAGAATCATGGATCCGCTGCCTCCTGCATGCCCCCGACTGGGGGTCAAGCCCACATCCGGGACATGTGCCCTGACTGGGAATCAAACCGTGACCTCCAGGTTCATAGGTTGATGCTCATCCACTGAGCCACACCGGATGCACCAGAAGATTGCCTTTTGGCAGTATTAATGGCTCCACAGAGACAGATCCCCAGTGGCTCACCCACCAGGGCCAGGGAAACTCCGGGGCAGAGAGTGCGCCTCGGGGCAGCTCCCACCCAACATGGTATTTCTGGGCGCCCAGAGATGAGCCCGAAATCGTGCTGGAATCTGGCCCACGCTCTGCTTTCCCCGTGGGCAGCTTCCTCTCCACCAGCTGTGTGTGCTGCGTGCGGGTTTCGGGTTGCCTGTGGCCGATGCTTACTTCCCAGGAACGGCTGGGCATTTGGCCTTAGGACGGGTTACTCCGTGATCTCTGGGTGTGGAGGACAGCTCACAGGGCTCTCTCCAGGGCGAGGGGAGGGCAGGGACTCTGGGGTGTTAGTCATTTCTGCTTATCTGTTGGAGATGAAGCCGATTAAAAGCCTCACGCCCTCTGGGAAAGGGATGTCTAGGCTGTGGGTTTCCTGTGTCTGCGGTTCCTCTCGACCTGAGGCTAACATTTTAGACTGAAAACTAGAAGGCTTCTCCACTCTCTCTGCCTGTGGGTGTGACTGTAATTCAGAAAGGCCTTTTATTCCTCCTGGAGGGAGTGATTACCTGACTTCCAAACAGCATTAATAAACAGAATTGCAAAACCTCCAGCCTCAGAATAGCAGGCACCAAGAGGCTTTTAACGTCCCTGATAGGATTTATAAGGTTCCTTACAAAGCCGTGCAGCAGAGCAGACTCAGGCAGGCCTCTGTGCTGGAGTAGCATTCTCGCTGCACCCAAACCACCAGGCCATGCCCACTACACCAACCTTCCTTTGTAATCAAAATAACCTTCTGAGGTATTTTTGATCAAAAGGGGAGAGACTGTAGGAAACTGTGT